GGTCATACGGCCACATTGACCTACAAGAGGGCTGAGTGAATGCGAGTGGGTGGCTTAGAAGAGGCCGAGAAGAGAAAAATATGCAAACATCACTGTCAAGAGCGGGAATAATATTTAACTGGAAAATGGCCTATTACTGGGCCACGCACTTTTAGGAGCCATGTGCAATTCACATGCCCAGCCTAATTTAAATTAATTCCTGGCTCTTCTTCCATTTCTAATCATTCTTATACTCCTATGTGGCCTTTGGGGAAACCCTAATACAATCAGCTCCATTACAGGCTGCCTGCCTTCCTTGTTCTCGTCAGCACTGGGGGAGGCAGAATCTAAATATTATTTGATAGTTGTTGTAATGGTGATGTTGTCTGATGTCGAACAGTGTTGTTCTAAGCGGAAGTTTGAAAACCCACCTAGAGTCAGTAAACCCTCCATGCAGTGGAGGCCAGGCTGAATCCGTGGCCCTGGTGCAACATCAACCGAAACTTGGTGGGGGGGGGCGGTGATGCCTAAGTCATTCTGATTAACAGAGGCAGGAGTACTAGGTCGCTGGACCAGCCAGCCTCGGCGTCACTGGGCTGGTCGTGGCTCCAGGATTCTGAGCCTTCTGGAGGCTGATGCAAGGACAAGGCCCTGGTGGGTACTTAAAGGGCAAAGCTCTCATTATTTTGTTTTCTGTTTAAAGCCCTGAGGATATAGAATTCCGGTATACAGCAGTAATTTGGTCTCTGGATTAAGCAGTCTAAATACCCTTTCAGCCTCACTGGGATGGAGAGAATATTTGGTCTAATCGCTGGCACCTAGGAGTTTTAGTCAGAGCACTTTTTCTATATAATTTTTGCTTCATGCATGAGGAAACAATTTGACTGCTCTACTGGGCATTTCATTCAGGAGATGGAGGGCTGTCCGGGGGGGACCCCGTGTATTTCCCCTGTGAAGGAAATACTTTCTTCTTTATCTTCTAAAACAAAAGTATCAGTCTGAGATGAAATGGACTTCCCTTTGACGGAATCCCTTCCAGAAAGGCCAATCATCTAATGGCCAGAGACCAGGTGTGTGAATTCTCTCCTCAGAGACTACTAAGGGAGACCACACAAATCTTGCCTGAACACATGGCTGATGGACACTCTGTCCGGAGGGACATGCTTCATTATTTATCACTCCCACCGGGGATTTTTATCCCGTATCTCCCTATATATACTAAAACAACAACTGCTTCCCAACAAAGGCTTTCCACTTGGGATTTCCAGAAGGGGAAGGAAAGAAAATGTCAACAATACCAGCGAAGGATAATAGCAATGATTGGAATAATTTCTCGAGGCCTTATTCTGTGTCACGCCACACTGGGGAAAGTAGTATTTCATTTCATCTTTCAGGCAAAGGTAGGGTTGATGTTAAGAACGATACTGGTGAGGGAAAAAAAACCAAACCCTTCAAGAAAGTATTTTCAACGAAGTAACATTGTACAGCTCATCCTTCTCATTTTATCTGAATCCACACAAGCATTTTCTATCCCTCCCATCCACATGAGGGGAGGCTGCAAAGGAGACAGTAAGACAAGTGTGAACTTCAAGAATCTTATAATCGCCTCATCCCCTTTCACTCTGTTTTGGTCTACCCTATTACCAGCTGTGAGAGAATAAATGGACATGAATCTCTGTGACTGAAAAATACTTTTGGTTCCAGATGATTCTCTCAGAGGGGAAGTTTAAGACCCATTAGAAAGGCCAAGCAGTTATGGCATCATGAATCGGTAAGATCATGTGACTCAAGCTGAGAACCCAGTGCAGTAATTTAATTGATACTGGCCTTTGGAGATTTAGAATGATTTGTACGTGTGTCGTCGGGGTCCTAGAACTGCGGGCCGTGGGCCTGGTCCTACACATTCCATGCACTTTGCTGCACTCTATGGAAGAGTGTATTTCATTTTCCCTCCCAGCAGGACATTTAACAAGCTGCTCAGTGGCGGGCTTCAACTCTCTGCTTCTGTGTCCATCCCCTCCCAGGGCTTCCCCAGGCAGTGCTGGTTAGTGACACTATTTCAACTGGGGCCCCTCTCATTGTTGCCTGGAATTTGCTACATCAATTGATACATGCACTGAGCTCCTTTTGTCCTCTATCTTGTAGAACACAGATCTCGCAATGGGTCAGGGGCACAGCTAACGCGGAGAGGAGGAAAACCAAGCCTCAGAGAAATGAAGAGTGAGTCCTGACTCTGGGTGTGGCCCTCGTGCGGTGAAGCTGAGAATAATTCTGCAATCATCTTTTCCATTTAGAGAATAATGCTGAAAACCCACCGCTAATCCAGTTTTCTCGAGAGTCGTATCAGATCTTTGTTGTTTGAGGCGATTTTCTCCCTATTGTGTGGACTTACCACGGAACCCTGTGAGAATCTGGCCTGAAGATAATGCCACGTTAGCCACCCTGACCTGATTTCTCCCGGTTTGGGGAACCTGTAATTTTAAGCCCCTCATATGCCACGTCCCCATTTGGCACCTGCTGAAAGTCACGGTCATTGTAGATAACTGCTTTTCTTTCTCTAAAGACAAATGCAAGTGAAAAAAGGACAAGTATCGGCCCCAAACTGAGGGCCTTGCGGAGAAGTCCTGATAAGTCTCCAAGTGCTATTGGATCCCTGATGCAGTTCACACAGGGCCCACCTGCAGCCAGGAGTTGACATGCAAAATCCCAACAACGTAAGTGCGCTTGAGAAAAAGAATTTACCTTGGAGTCAAGCTGCTGCATGTATGACCAAAGATACTCTATGTTGGCTCCAAAAGGATGGACATGAAGAAACGTTGATATGATGCCTGGGTTAAAAAGACAAACATTGGGCATTACTTCAAGGCAAGTCAGAGTCGGAGTCAGATAATGTCCTTTACTAACCCCAGCGATGGTTCTGTCAGCCTGAGTTACAGTCTCACCATTTTCAGCAGCACTCAACAAGCATTTAATAGCAGCCCGTTCTGAAGACAGTCATAGTAACATGGCAAACAGAACACTCTATCTGCTGGAATAACAGTAGTTAGAAAAGCTAGACTCTGAGATAATATACAGATGAATGAAGGTATTTCTAAACAAAGACTCCTGGAAGCATTTCAGCTACCAATTGTATGCTTGATTTACCAATATAAAATTGTAGTTATTGGGAGGATAAAATTCTCTCTTTTCTTTCCCTCAGTGGGCTTTGCAGTATGAAAATGGCTCATACAGCTGGTGTCAGAGATCACACGGCCTCCGATTTCCCTGATAATTACAGCTGCCAGTTATGAAAAGTATTTAATCCATATTTCCCCTAACTGCCACTGAAGGAAGCACAAATCCTTTCCGAAGCCTTTATTTCCCCCTCGTTGTTGCTGGTGTTTAAAGGGAACCGGCTTACTCTCTCCTCCCTGCTGTAATTTACAAGATCATTTTAAAAGGTCCAGGAATGGATGGTTTGGCTGGAGTCTGAGTATAAATCAGAAGTCTTTTCCATTGTGAAAATCAACTGTCAACATTGTACTGACAAATGAAAAGCCGGGGTTGGTGTCGGGGCTGAAGTGAAAGCATTACCTCTCTATCCTCCCTGCTCCTAGATCCAAAATCAAAATAGTGAAAATGAGGACGTCGGCTTCATAGACTGTATGCTGCTGTTTGTTATGAAACGGTGTTCAGACTGACATTGTTTGAGTTCTCTTTTAAGCCCTCACATTGTTTATTGGGAAATTCTGATGCCTGAGAGCTGAAGGTCAAAAAAAAAGACCTGCATTTGTTTGACACGCAGGTGGAGTGAGCCCTAGACGAGCACATCGTTCTTGCACCAGGTCACCCTGGGAATCGCAGGCTGACCCTGGATTGATCTGGGATAGGGTCTCATGGCCTCCTGACCTCCTGTGTGATGCTTGGGATGCTCTGGGATGAGTGCCAGCATTTAAAGAAAAACTCCCAGTTTAGCTTTAGTCCGAGGACAGAGAACCGAAGTGTCTAGACCACTGCTCTCAAAGACCTGTCTTCAGAACACTGCTTATATGAGGTTTGTACTGGTTTACAGTGAAATGAGGAAGAGAGAAATAATTAAGCGTATTTCTCCATAATGCTAAAACCTCAGTTTTCAGAGACCTGTTTTTCTTGCGATGTAAAGAACTACCATTAAAAAAAAATGTTTTGAGGGGCGCCTGGGTGGCTCAGTTGGTTAAGCGGCCGACTTCGGCTCAGGTCACGATCTCGCGGTCCGGGAGTTCGAGCCCCGCGTCGGGCTCTGTGCTGACAGCTCAGAGCCTGGAGCCTGTTTCAGATTCTGTGTCTCCCTCTCTCTGACCCTCCCCCGTTCATGCTCTGTCTCTCTCTGTCTCAAAAATAAATAAATGTTAAAAAAAAAAATTAAAAAAAAATGTTTTGAGAGAGAGAATAAGCATGAGCAGGGGGCAGGGGGCACAGAGAGAGGGGAGAGAGAATCCCAAGCAGACTCTGCACTGTCAGCACAGAGCCTGATGTGGGGCTCGATCTCATGAACCGCGAGATCATGACCTGAGCCAGAATCAGAAGTTGGAAACTTTAACCCACCGAGCCTCCCAGGCACCCCAAGCACTACCATCTTATTCTGAAATTATATTCCTCCTTTTTTTGCTAAAATGTTCTTTTATCAAATAATGCAAGTGGTAAAAGGTAATATTGATAGTTTTAATATCTTTAAGTGGCAAATAGCCATTTTAATACACTTAAGTGGAGTTGTTTTATTCCCTTCCTTCCAGTTTGTTAATTTCCATTTTTAAATTTATAGATCTGGCAACTACTTCCCTGTGTCTTTGAAATTCTCAAATCTGGTGAAGTGACACTGTAAGTAATTCTGTTACTAATGAGTTCGAGTATAGAAGCTCATGAAGGACTTAAAAAATAAGTTTTTTTTTTAAATAACACTTTTATTTGCATTTGTTAAGTGGGAGAGAGGGGGCAGAATTCTTTTTTTTTTTTTTTAATGTTTATTTATTTTTGAGAGAGAGAGAGGGAGAGAGAAAGCACAAGCAGGGGAAGGGCAGAGAGAGAGGGAGACACAGAATCTGAAGCAGGTTCCAGGCTCTCAGCTGGCAGCACACAGCCCGATGCGGGGCTTGAACTCACGAACTGTGAGATCGTGACCTGAGCCAAAGTTGGATGCTTAACTGACTGAGCTACCCAGGGGCCCTGAGGGGGCAGAATTCTTAGGGGGAAACTCCTGTTTCAGGATGGTGGATGGGGTTCTCCTTGCTGTCCCAAGCTGAGGACCGGTGGCATTACGTCCACTAGTTTTCACAGGGAGCCTCCAATAAATGGTAGGCAGACCCCTCAATCCCCCATTAGAAGACAAGGGGGAAGAAGGAGCAGTCACCTCTGGCTTTGTGAGGAGGCGAGGGTGTTCCTTTCTTCTCCTGGCACACAGGTTCTCCCAGGCAGGGGAGGGGGAAGCTCCGAGAGGGTGGCTCACAGAGCCAAGAGGGGTGCTGCAAGATGGGGGCAGCATTCGCTTCCTTGGTTGGATGTCGGCTTAGGCAGCAGATGGACCGGTCAGCCTTCGGGGTGACGAGGATGTGTGGTTTTCCACCGGGGTAAGGGAGCATCTTAGACGGTGGGGAGGCTTGGGTAGTCTTACGAGTAAACCACCCCAAAGGCCCCAGCAAATAGAGAAAGACATTTTTCATATTAATCTCTCTACCGGACAGAGACTTAGCACCATCTCCTAGATAACCCACAGCCTCTCCTGTAAACATCTATGGAAGGTGGTGCGAAGTGAAACGTCTTCAGCAGCATAAACGGAACGAGTCAGAAGAGGACGTGTGTGGGCGATGGGGGAGAAGTTGATGACTAGGCTAGGAGACGAGGTGTTAAAAGAGGAAATTTAGGGATACCAGTAATGGGAGGACCTGGGGTGGCTGATTTTGTTGCCTCTGTGAGCTGGGTATGTCTCTGTGTACACACCCCCTCACTGGTAACGGTCTGTCTGCCGGGCCCAGTCTTGGGTTCCCCAGGAAACTCTGCCCTCAGAAAGTCTTTGTGTATGCTGGCTCAGTATTGGCAATAGAGTGTACATGTACAATAAGTGTATGTTGAATGAATTTATCCTCTAGAACTAAGACTAGCCAGTATACTTGTTTAAAATTTCTCCTGTTCTATTATAGGTAAATGGGGATAAATAAGAACATTAAAAATGGCTCCAGTGCTAACTGGTGGTGGGGCAGTCTTTCAAAGATCAGGTAACTTTGAGACATTATTCACTCCTGATTCCTTCCCTATTATGGATTCAGAAGGACAGAGCAACCTGAATGTTTTGGTCATGGAAACTTTTTCTTTATTTTATAACTTTCATTTTTTATTTTTTTAATTTATTATTTTTTAATTTATATCCAAGTTAGCATGTAGTGCAACAATGATTTCAGGAGTAGATTCCTTAATGCCCCTTACCCATTTAGCCCATCCTCCCTCCCACAACCCCTCCAGTAACCCACTGTTCGTTTTCCATATTTAAGTCTCTTATGTTTTGTCTCTCTCCCTGTCTTTATTTTTTGCTTCCCTTCCCTTATGTTCATCTGTTTTGTATCTTAAAGTCCTTATATGAGTGAAGTCATGATATCTGTCTTTCTCTGACTGACTAATTTCGCTTAGCATCATACCCTCCAGTTCCATCCACGTAGCTGCAAATGGCAAGATTTCATTCTTTTTGATGGCCGAGTAATACTCCATTGTATATACATACCACATCTTCTTTATCCATTCATCCATTGATGCACAGTTGGACTCTTTCCATACTTTGGCTGTTGTTGATAGTGCTGCTATAAACATGGGGGTGCATGTGCCCCTGTGAACCAGCACACCTGTATCCCTTTGATAAATAGTAGTGCAATTGCTGGGTCGTAGGATAGTTCTATTTTAATCTTTTGAGGAATCTCCATACCGTGGAAACTTTTTATTTAAATTCTTTGGCTTGGGGTGCCTGGGTGGCTCAGTGGGTTAAGCATCCGACTTTGGCTCAGGTCATGATCTTACGGTTAGTGGGTTTGAGCCCCGTGTCGGGCTCTGTGCCGATAGCTCGGAGCTGGGAGCCTGCTCCAGATTCTGTGTATCTCTCTCTGCGCCTCTCCTGCTTGTGCATGCTCTCTCTCACAAAAATAAACATAAAAAAAAGTTAAAAAAATTCTTTTGCTCATAAAATTAAGGGGGAAAATGCTTATATGATTTCTATATATCTTTCTAAAATCAGTGTAGAAATCCTGACCCACTCATGAATAGCTGTCCTTAGGAGGATATTCGAAATGATCACTGTAGTAGCTGATATTAATAAGCCATTAGCTTTTCTTTATAAAAGTAGAGTGGTTGCACTAGATTCATTTGGGGCCAAAGCAGGTAGTTAAATAAAAGCTTCCCAAGCTTTTCGCATGGATGGCAACTAAGCTGTTCAGTATTGCTAGAGATACAGCAGAAATGGGAAACATTAGTCATATCCTCCTGTTCCTTACTCCCACCCTTACCGCTGCCCATCACAGTATCATCACAGGCGCATTAGTCATGCTGAGAAAATGTAGTTTCTAGGCCCTGGTTTTGGATTGGATTCATTGGGCAGGGTGAGGTGGGGCTTCCTGAATAATCAACTAAAGCCTCTTTGTCATTCCTTTAAAAGAACTGGAATATTTCCTGAGAATGGAAAAACAGATAGATACGACTCATAATCTAACGAAAAATGCTACCAACCCAGAAAATGGAGACTGTTTTGTGGTCCTCTGGGAGGCATCTAAAGGCTTGGTAAAAAGAAACACTAACAACAGAGGGTGGAGAACTTAGCCATTACTGAACTGGTGGATCTCCAAAGGGATAGACGCAACTGTTGGTCTTGGCTGTTTCCATGGAGAAGCAGAAGTCTCCATATTTAAAGATGGGTTTCCCAACCAGGAAAATACAACTGTAAGTAGCTAATTTAAGAAAATAAAAAAGGAGTGGAGGAGGCTGTCAGAACTCAAACTTTCTGCACGTCCCAGGGCCTTAAAAATGACTCTAGAAGGACATACAAACCAGCTCTGTACAACCGGTGGCAAGCCCCTCATGAGGAAGGCCATTTAAACAGGCACATGAAAGCATTTTGAGCTTTCTCCATGAAAATCATCGAGTTTTTTTCCCATTTTTAGACCTCACTAAGGAAGCAGCATTTAAGTTAGCCAAATAGTGCTAGATTTTTACTGCTTCGTTCATTCATTCTTAAACATTTCTTTACCAGCAATTAGGTGCCAGGGACACTGCACTGCACAAGACAGACAAGCTTCCTGCTCTTGGGGAATTTATATTCTAGGTAAGTAACACAGGATAAACCCAAAGATGAAAAATAAAGGGAATATTTTCAGATAGTGGTAAACATAGTGAAGAAAACACAACAGGTTTGAGCTTGGTGGAGTGTTACTCTATCCCGGGAAGTCGAGTGAAGGTAAAGTCTCCTGGGTCAGATGAGAAGGAGCCAGCCACAGACAGCCTGGGGAAAGATTTTTCCAGAATGTGCAAAAGACCTGAGGTGGAAATGAGCTGGCAGCTGGCAGGAACAAACTTGGCCTGAGAGTGGTACAGCAGGCATTTAGAGGGAGGTGGGGAGCCAGATCATGGAAGGCCTTGAATGAGTGTGATGTGTTTGGCTTAAACTCTAAATATAGCAGGAAACCAACAGAAGAGTTCTAAGTAGGGGCATGATAAGATCTGAATTGCATTTTTAAAACTTCCTTCAAGCTTCTGTCTGGTGAATAGATGAAAAGGGAATTGAGAGGCCACTTAGAAGTGTCTGCACAAGACCCGAAGTGGTAGGTAGTGATTTGGACCAAAGAGCAGTGAAGGAGAGCTGAAGGCAACATGTGAGTGGCATAGTCTTGGGAGGAGGAGTCCTCGATTTGGCTTGGTACCATTTTCTCAGACGGGAGTACTAGGGGAGGAGCATATGAGGGCAGAGGAAAGGGTGGAGTCCAGAGTTCTGTTTTGGCCTCACTAGATTTGAGATGTCCACTAGCATCTATGTGGAGATCCCAAATGCTTTCTGGAGATGGTATACATGTGTGAATCAGTGGCAACAAACAGGGATTTGAAACCCAAGCACTTCTGGCCTGAACTCTGAAGAAGCCCCAAATTTAGAGGTTAAGCTGAGGAAAACTCACCAAAGGAATCTGGGAGGGAGTGATCAGTAAGAAAAAATGGCGTCATGATAGCTAAGAGAAGGAACTTCTACTCACAAGATGTGGCTAGTCAGCTGTCTAAAGTGCAGATGACAAATGGAGGGAGTTGAGAAATTGGCAACATGAAGTTCTCTCGTCACGCTGACAAAACCACTTCAGGGTGAGGGTGCAAGTTATACCCGAGTGGGCCGGAGGGGAGGGGAAGAAAGGAAATGGGGGCTGTTAGTATAGATGGGACTTCGGAAAAGTCATGCTTAGATAGGGAGCAGGGACATGGGCTGTTGGAGTGAAGACAAGTCTCCCTTCTTTTTTTGTTCTAAAGGTATGAGGTAGAAGAGTTCAAGTTAATATGCGGATGTTATCAGCATCTGCTTACAAATACGGCCACTGCCTAAAGGGCAGTGCCCCTTTCGTAATCGTCCTCCTAGATTACAGACTATTGAGTTGAGAAAGACCATCTAATCAGACCTCCTAACTTGATACGATATGAAGAATTAGACCCACAGTGGATGACTTGCCCAGTGAACCATGCCTCCGTCCACAAATACTCAGGATGCTCCTTCCCAGTGCATTCTCCTTGAGGTGAATGAGAAATGGCATCCTACCAGAACATACTCCCCTTCCTCAGGCTGCTTGGAGTTTCACTCCAAACTCTGCGTCAGCTTAGAAAGTTCTGGCTGAGATTAGCTTTCCCTACATGCACACTAGCTGACAGTCTCCTGGGAAACTTCAGAAAACCCTGAGACCTATCAGCTTACTGGGGGAGGGGGCATCCCAGGGATTTCTAGGAATGTAAGCTCTGCCGAGGAACAGCTATCTCTCCAGAGACACTTATATCATGCCGGAAACCGGCAGAGGCCTTGACCGTAAGCCAGCCGGAAATATCCTGGCTTCATTTTGCAGCCCATAAGGCGTCAGGGACACCGGACTGGAGAGGCAGCAGGGAGGATGCCCTGTGAAATCTGGGTTTCCCACTAAGCCACGAGCCTGTGGTTATCCTGAGCAGCTGCAGCGTGATAAAGCATTGTGGGAATCGGGGAGATTCCACTGTGAGCAAGTGGTAGGAGAGTGATCCCACACTGTGATTTGGTCCGAAGCTTCTCCGTGCCTCGGAAGGCAGAAAAGCTTTAATTTTCCAAAGAGCAGTTTGTTCCACTTTTCTGGTGAGTACCGTACCTGATCTTGTACGGTGAGTTTATTTAATGTAAAGAAAAAAAAATTGAAATGTCTGTTGGTCTTATTTTAACTAAACTCCTGAGACTGTACCAGTTGTTCCTTGTGTCTGAAATGGCCTTGACAACTCCCTCATTTGACCACAGAGAGTCTACGCATCCCTTTAGGACTCCTTCGACTGTCCCTTCTTCCGATAAGGCCTAAGTAGCCCTTTCTCTGTGCTTCTGATTTTAGTCCAAACCATATTTCATTGCCATTCACTGCTTGCTTTCTCACTAGTCTATGAACTGAGGGAAGAGATCATCTTATCACCACCATCAGCGAACACAGGTTTGGGCAGATGGCAGGCTGGTAGTTCTCCAAACGTGGTCCCCCAAGTGCCTGTTTCAGTATCACCTCGGATGTTAGTTTTCTAATGAACAGAATCCCTGCGTGTGGGTCCAGAGGCTGTGCCTTTTAAACAGGCTGCCGAGATGATTCTTTTCCACAAGGAAGGCTGGTAATTTTTATAGTAGGCTCTTGACAAATGTTTGTTGATTTATTGATATGGACATTTGTGTCTCGGAAACAAGATTTAGGTCAATGACTCATTCTTTATGGTCAGCAGCTTTCAGAGAAGCACGCACTTCCCAGATTACTTTTCTCAGGTGTGGCCTAAATATAGCCTCAATTCCAGTCACTGAAAACACCAAAACATCACCATTTAACCTTCTTTAAGTGTGTTTCTCTCCCGTCCATTCATCTGCTTCCTAATACTCATGTATTCAGGGGAGCATTCCAATTCTGATATAGACAGGCTGTGCACAGATGTGTGAAATGGTGACAGCGATAGAAATGGGGCGGTGGGGGTGGGGTGGGGTGATGGAAAGCAGCCTCCTGGCCATCTGTACTATGTACGTCCCGATTTGTAGCGGAGTCAGGATGATCTGTAGAGACGTGTGCCTTACCATTAAGAATTTGGGGACGGTTCTCAGGAGTCGGGGGGGGGGAGTTGTGCAGAACAGATACTTTATGAACAGAGCTGTTGAGAAGGTTCTGACCATACCTGGATGGGATTTACAGTGATGACTAGCATTGGGAGGGTGTCAGTCAGGGCTCCTAGGACTGGACATTTACTGTGTTCGAATTACTTAGAAAGAAAGAGAAGATCGAGTGATAAAGACCCAGCGGTATACGGTTAGCATCTCCTCAAGAGCTCTTTGCCTATCTATAAAAATTTTCTTGGCCCATTCTTCATTAACAGTAGCCAGGGGTTTCCAAAGTGGTGGTCCTAAACCAAAAGTATTGTCTCATTCTGTTCCATGCAAGTTGAGCGCATGCCAAACCCAGTGTGTAGGTCGTATGTGAAGTGAACTAAGAGTTCTGGCATAGATACCAGACTACGTCAGGCCGACCTAATGTTCAGTTACCATAGAGCCATGAGCTGTAAACTAGTACCCTGCTTCACCGCCCCCCCCGGCCGGGCCCATACAAATGTAATTCTTTTAGGTCCAATGATATGTTAACCTGTCTTTACGAGCATTGATCACAAGATAAGTAATCCAGAAGTCACGAGAATAAGGTGCTTTCCAAGGGCCCATCTGTTTTAGCAGAGTTGGAACACAGCTCTCGATCCCCATTACTTGTCAAGCAGAAAGTTGAGCAGAATGATGGAACTCTCAAGGGACAGGCACGACGCCAAGTAATATCATCAGTGAAATCCCGCCGACCTTCTATTACGCATCCGTACCTTCCATGTCTTAAAGGCGCCAGTTATGAACAGGCCATGAGAATGTGTGGAAGGGATGCGTACTTTTGCCCAGATGGAAGAGCGTCACACGTAATCACAGACAGTCGGGATTGCTTGTTGTTTAGGAAGTTCCAGCCTCAGTTTTATGTTCTCTGTATATGGAATCTATTTGACAAATGTATTTCTCACTCCCCCCCCTTTCCCTTCCAGGAAATCAAGATTTGTGCCACTGTGCATTTTTATACAATATCTGTGTGTCCCAAGAGGGTGTTATCTGAATATATTTGCATATAGCATATACTACAGGTACCCAGATGTGATGAGGCTTTTGCTAACAAGTATTTCCAAATCAAGGGAGATTTTCTGCTGTGCTCCTGGGCCTTCTAGGCTAGATAGATCAGAACAGGCCCACTGTACCCTCTAGATGGGTTTAATTATTCCAAGGGAAGATTCCAACGATACTGCAAAGAGTATTCCTAACCTTTCCAGGTATATCAGAAGTCTGGAGGACTCTGGGAATCATTCTACCTATAAGTATTCTTCAGAAAAGAGTAGCTCCAGCATCAGAAACTCTTTCCTCTATCTAGCTTTGTCCAAAGCAGTTTTGGACCCCTATTCTCTCCCTGTCACCGCCCTTCTCTAGATTCCAGAAGTTGCAAGAGCGGTATTTGTGACCCCAGCATTTGAGTTTCTACAAGGTATGAATGGCCAAACTCACTTAGCAGAGAGGCACGATTAATGGCAAGAGGCAGCTATGTCCTTCAGCAGGACCCATTCTGCCAGTCTTGGAGACTCGTTTCTACCTTGTTCTTCTGGACAATTACTCTCTGACTACAAAAGTAAGTATTTGGGGGGGGAGGGTTTGGGCAGGAAATCACAGCTGTATTAAAACTTTCATTAAGCAAAATAAAATGTCGAGGAGGAGAGGTAATGGAGAAATGAAGGGGGGGGGGGGAAACCCCACCTCCTAACCTTATTTTAGTCAAAAACTTGGCTTTGGCCTTCTTTCTAACTAAACACTCTCATATATTGATTCAAAATGAGTGTCAGTTGTTAATACACGTAAACCAGTTCAAAAGACCAGAAGTGAGCAGAAGAATCCTAGAAAATTTACAGTGGGTTCTGCCTACTGGTAACTGAAGATTCTGACTTACTAAAGTTTTTCTAATACACTCGAATTTACCAATTAAAACAATTCTTGGAAATTGTTTCAATTATTTGTTTTGAGGGAGGAGCAGAGAGAGAGGGAGGGAGAGAGAATCCCAAGCAGGCTCCACACCATCAGCACGGAGCCTGCCTTGGGGCTCGAACCTATGAACCAGGAGATCATGGTGACCTGAACTGAAACCAAGGATCGGGCACTCTGACTGAGCCACCCAGGCACCCCAAAACAACTTTTTCTCCCCTAATACTGAAGACATCAGCAGAGTTAAGATGTTCTAAATGTAACCTCTCATCTACTCCTATTAACCTATGGTGTGCAAAGCATATCCTTTTTAAATTTTGAGGTAGCTGATTGAAAGAAAATGTGTGTGTGTGTGTAGTAACTATTTAAGAGACATTGTAAATGAACTCTGTTCTGCAAGTAAAACACATGAGGAGAAGCAATCTTTAGTGAGAGGCAGGAAATTAAAAAAAAAAAAAAAAAAAAAAACCCATTCCCATTTTTTAAAACATCAAGTGCTCTGGATTATTCTGACTTAAAAGAGGGAACATTTACTGCTGATCACCATGTGCTCTGTTCATGCCCTGAATTCGTGGGGGAGATCACAACTTTGTCACACGGAGCAGAAGAGAAACAGTTGTCGGAGTTTGACACATTTTCCAATAGAAGAAAAATCCAGTTGCCAACTACATATGGGTTCATTTTGGGTTCCTGGAACTGATAACACATCAGCATGTCTTACGAAACTTGTGCATGGCATGTTATTGCAGCTGTATATCATCAGAGAGAAAAAAATAATTGGTTTTCCTTAGAGTATCTCGAAGTTGATGTCATATTCAATAACCCTGTAGTTGAAAAATCTATATATGATGGATGAAGTTTGGACTATCTTGAATTTAATTCCTCCTGTGCCAGCTTCTACAGGCCCTGGTCTACCTGTCATTTTGAGGTGAGTGCATGCATTATCTAGAAAATGCAACCAGGTGTTCCTTTTGCCAGAATACGAACTATAGGAGAACAATTTGTCTCACATGTACAACAGTCTCATTCCTCACCCTTAACTATGCCAAGGAAGAGCCAGTTTAAACTTGGAACCCCGCACCAGGGTCAGTGCCAAGGCGCAGCTGGAATTAGTCCTGTGCGTTACAGAGTGAGGGGCACAGCTTCTCCTTCTGTAGAATGGGGACTCTGGAGACAGGCCTTAAACAGACCAGCTTCTAAAGTAGGGTCCCAGGCCCGTCACCAACATATCCTCATCAAGAACTCTTCCTTGGGAGAGTAAGTGCTATTTTTGGATCTGCTCATGAGGACTCTCAAAAAGAAAACATTCAGAGCTTTGTCTCTGGTCCAGACCAAAAAAAAAAAAAAAAAAGCCAACTTAGATCATCATATCTAAAAGCAGGATGCAGCCTCTTGAGCCTGGGGGTCTGGCTTGATTTGGAACTTTTGGACACAGCCTGGCCTCCTGTTGGAAGTGATGCGTCCATATTTTGGAATTCAGATTTGTAAAACACGGGATGCAAAATAATCTGTCTTCTTGTACTCGGTTTTATGTTGTACAGCCGACGAACACACGTGGTTACAGAAGAGCAAACCTCCCCACCTTGGTTTATGCATCCCTAATTTGAAATGTAAGTATAATATAATCTTGACAAAGTTAATCTTACCTCTGGCCAGAGGGCAGAGCTGTCTGCATTGTTAACAACTTGGAGGTGAATTCCTTTCATATTATTTAAGACAGCAGACGAGGAAAACATAATGTCCTTACCGATTAGCAAAGCTTCTTTCTCTGATTTTAAGCCTTGGCTTCTTTTTTCCATATTGTTCTCTCGGTCTTGGTTGACCAATGCGACTGTCAACACGTTGATTTCCTATGAAGTTAAACAAAAACCATAGAGGTGTTCATGTAGAGTTTGTGCATTTCAGTGAGCCACCTGGACTTTTCAACTCTATAAAAAAAGGTCATCATTTCCATTTTTAACTGAACATCAACTTTTATAAGTAATTGATCTATGTGCTCAACAATAAAAAAGTAGTACTAAAACTTAGGCTCCTAGCTGCTCCCAGCAAACCAAGTAACTATGCAAAAGTAGCAAATTTGGCATAAATTATCTTAGGTTTCTGTCCATGTTTTGATTAATCTGTTAACAAAAACTATTTTATTGTAGCCACTTAAACATGCTTTTATTTCAAATATAAAAAAACTTCCCCCAAAGCATGTACAAACTGATTTATAATACTATGCTAGTAACTTGTATGTGTGTGTGGAGAAATAGGGCCTATTGGGAAGGTGAGATAGGATTGTCATTAGAAGTGTTTAAGTTGAATAAGTAGATGTCCTTATACACAACTGCAAAAGGGAGATAAAGCAAAGGTTGAGAAATTCTTTTCTTCGGAAACTAAAAATGAAGAATTATACCACAAACCAGTAACATGTGGAACACTGAAGTTGAACTATTTTTAGTTCTATGGTCTTTTCTGTTGAGAAACAGGGTAAAACATTTAACTCCTATTCTCCCGGACCTGATATTAGGATTCAAAATGGAGAATGATTTAATAGGAAATCAAATGCAACGATCAGAGACCTACATATAGGGGATAGAATCATTAGGGTAGCTGAGGCTTGGAGGGACATCTCTCACTGAAAGATAGGTCTCAAAGAAGGATGGGCATATTGGGCAGAGAGTTAAGGATACGGTCTCCATTAGGTGATGAGAAATCTGCCGGAGGGACAAAGGAGGACTTAGAAGATCTGGGCAAAAGGTTTGGCAGGTGGTACCGGGACAGGAACCGGTTACAGGGATAGATGCTGATCTAGTCAATTCAACTTGACAAAATTAGCCAGATAAAAGAATAGGGAAATAGTTGGGAGCACGTTGAACCTGTACAGAGCACAAACCCTGTCTGAAGGCATTCAAATAAAAGAAAAAGAAGAAAAAAACCCAAACCTCAGTGTATATCAATCACAAAAGATCTGGGAGCTAAATTTACCCTACGAGCTACTGCTTTGGAAATCGGGGGTAATTATAGCAATTGGCAGGAAAAAAAAGGCTCTAAGAAATTGTGATTTGGTGAACATTTTGGAGGCTCCTCTAAAGGTCCCACTTACCTGCCGAAGATGAGTAAGGTAAAGAATCGAGGGAATCACAGCGGGGTGGTGGATTGATCAGAAGGAAAATGCTGGTTGGCTAGAGGGTACCTGAGGCCTGAGGCTGACGGCAGGAGGGTGCCCATGAGGACAGTATGGTCCCAGGCAAGGCTGGAGCCAGCTGCACCACTAGAGATTCAAGATGTCCTTATACTTCCCACAAGGGATCTTGGGAATCAGCACCGGTAGAAACATAGTCCAGAATGTTAAAACAGACTAAACCTAAAGGCTGACGTAGATGAGATCAGAAGAGGAGTTCCAGGAAAGATGTAGGGATACCCTCTGCGAGGAAACAACATGGCTGCGTTTTAAGGGCTAGAAGAGGTTTCGGAGGAAAGAGACGGAAAGACGTTACCGAGGATGATGACTGCAGCATTTAAGAACAATACAAATAATGAACCGCGGGGATTAGCGGAAACAGTATCTCCAGGAGAGGGTGATCTGTTCACAGCCTGGATGATACCCGGAGGCCAAATGAAATTACTGGGGAGCGTTTAGCAGACAACAGGCCCACGTTAACTGACGAAGCTGAGTGGGGTCCTGGAGCCGTCACACAGGTGAGGATCCAGGTTTAGGAAGGGAACTGGACCCCAGGGGCAGGCAGTACATCAGGAGGCAGCAAGGGATGGCAAGGGCAGAACACGCTGAGACCACTCTAGGGTGCTGTTAGGCCTTTGTCCCCTATTCAAAGCTGGAGGGCACGTCGAGCAAGTCCCAACAGATTCTCCAAGGCGCCGATAACCGCCTACCACTGACTGTTGCTTTGATGATGACTTAGGGTCGTGTCTATGAGGATGGAAAGAGGAGTCCTGGGAAATATCTTTGAGACCGAATATGGCAGCATGTGCTCTAACCACAAACGGTGTTCTCCTACATGGTCGCCGCCAGTGACTCTGGAGGGGACACGCCTCTCTGCAAGGCTTCAACAGCAATGCAGGAGGCATGGGTCCAACAGAGACCTGAGGCTTGGCAGTGCTTCAGCCTCCGGGCACCACTGTGGGTTCTGCCCAGGGTACATAGGGCGCTGTTCTTTTGACTCCTTCGGCAGGGAGAAGAACTGTTCTGGGAAGAGTACAGGACCGAATGAAACCGATCAGGCAGGCTCCGAGAAGTGCCTGGATGTTGTAATAACTTGGGTGTCAAGAACCCGCTAAAGGGGAACTATCATTTCCATGATAGAGCAAGGGGTGTCTAAGCCTACCGAGAGCCTTGGGGCCACAACATCACTGGGGAAGCGGACCAACCCGTGGCCACTCAAAAGCGGTACTAATGACCAAGTGCCCTGGAGCCCAAGCCGGCCTCCGGCATGGGCTTCTGCACAACAAAAGACAGAATGGCAAGAGAGCAAAAGTGATGGGGACAGGGTAAGGAAGGGAACCCCCACCTCTGAAGCGGTGAACAGCACTGGGGAGGGACAGGACTGGGGACCTGGAACTCCTCTGTCCTTGGACACAGAAAAAAAAAGCCATGGTTTAAAAGAGCGCCGAGCTAGCTCAGTCCGTTAGCGTCCGACTCTTGATTTCAGCTTAGGTCATGATCTCACAGTTTGGAAGTTCAAGCCCCATGTGGGGCTCTGCGCTGTGTCAGTGTGGAGCCTGCTCGGAATTTTCTCTCCCACTCTCTCTGCCCCACTCATGCCTTCTGTCTCTCAAAATAAACAAACCTAAAAAAAGATATTTTTTAAAAAGAGTGACCAGCATCCCTAAGAGCCAGCCCTTCGAGCTCCACCAAATGGCAGAAGAGCTGTGGGGACACTCTCTGGGTCACAGGGACTGGAGAACAACACAGTTTATGCATAGACCAGAGGTAGGTCTGTACCCTCAGGTCCTCCAGGCAAACATCAGCCCTGGATGCACTTGGGCACACACACACACACAAAGCCGCAGTTTAAAAGAGTAGCTGGCATGAAAAACAGCCCGCTCTAGAATTCTGCTAATGGTAGGGGTAGCTGTGGGAGGGCTCTCCAGGTGGGAGGGGCTGATACACAGTCTCCGCTCACTACCCCTCCCACACACTTTGAAAGCACAGAGTGATGTCCTGGCCTCCTGCCTCAGTGAGCCCTGGACCCCTAGCCCACACCCCTACCAGCCAGCCCACCAAGGTGGCCACAGGGCGCGCACACTGGGATATCCTTAGCACTCACTACAGCTCCAGCCTTCGTGCTAAGATCACAGTCACAAGGCCCCCCCAGAACGCTCATGGCCCACACCACTTTGGCTTCAGATGGCTGGCAGGGGGGCCGGCCCCCGGCCCCCCGCCGTGTAGAACACTCCAGAATGTTTTGGCTGCCATGTGCTTGAGATCCAGTTGCCCTGCCAGGGTGCCCCAAGCCCCAGTCCATGCCTGCATCAGTTCCAGTCATCCCATCAGGGTGCCCCCTGTGCAGAGCATCCCAACACTCCTTTGCCCACACTGGCCTTGGCTTTGGTTGCCGACCAGGGAACCCCCTGCATGGAGTACCCAGAGACACCTCAGATCGCACCAAATTCAGTGAAAGCTGTCCTGCCAGGGCGCCCTCTGCACAGAACACCCCAGAACCTCCTGGCCTGTACCCCACCTCAACGCCATCCCCTCCTTCGGGGCATCCTCTGCTGAGAGTCCCGAAACATCCTGGTTTACATCCACTTCAGCTTCAGCTATCCTGCCAACGTGCCCCCTGGGCTTCGAGCCCCAGGTCCCCCTGGTTTGCATCCACTTTAGTTCCAGCTACACTGTCAAGGAAGGCTCTGTGCAGAAAACTCTGGGAACTCCCGGCACCCACACTGCCTTAGCTCCAGCCACGCTGCTAGGGCACCCCTTGCACAAAGTGCCCCAGACAGCCCGGGTCACAACCATTTCAGCTGTCTTGCCAGGTGCCCTCAGCACACAGAATCCGAGGACACCCTGGTCCGCATCTGCTTCAGCTGTCCAGACATGGCACTCTCTGTGTGGAAAGCCCTGGGGTCCCCAGCCCATGCCCGTCACAGCTCAAGCCAGCCAGCAGAGATCGCCAAGCACACACCATCTACCTGGAGGATGACCATATACAGGATAATTCCTTCAGGTTTAGGAGAAGTAACTGTTACATCTAATCCACAGAAACAAACACAGAATGTTAAGCAAAACAGGGAGACAGAGGAATATGCTCCAAAATAAAGAACAAGACAAACCCTCAGAAAAAGAACTACATGAAATGGAGACAGGCAATATGCTTGATAAAGAATTTAAAGTAATGATCATAAAAATGCTCACTGCGCTGGCGAGAAGAGTGCAAGAATTCAGTGGGGCCTTCAATAAAGAGATAGAAAACGTAAAAAACAACCAATCAGAATTGAATACAATCACTAAAATAAAAAACCACAGTAGAGGGAATCAATGGTAGATTAGCAGATGCGGAAGAATACGTCAGCGATGTGGGAGGTAGGGTACTGGAATGCACACAAGCTGAAAAGCAAAACAGAAACGAATTGGGGCGCCTGGGTGGCGCAGTCGGTTAAGCGTCCGACTTCAGCCAGGTCACGATCTCGCGGTCCATGAGTTCGAGCCCCGCGTCGGGCTCTGGGCTGATGGCTCAGAGCCTGGAGCCTGTTTCCGATTCTGTGTCTCCCTCTCTCTCTGCCCCTCCCCCGTTCATGCTCTGTCTCTCTCTGTCCAAAAAAAATAAATAAATGTTGAAAAAAAAAAAATTAAAAAAAAAAAAAAGAAACGAATTAAAAAAATGAAGGCAGGTTAAGGGATCTTTTGGACAACACTCAGCAAACAAACATTTGCATTATTGGGGTCCCTGAAGGAGAGAGAGAAAGGGGTAGAAAATTTATATGAAGAAATAATAGCTGAAAACTTCCCTAACCTCGGGAAGGAAACAGACATCTAGGTCCAAGAAGCACAGGACATTTCAAACAAGATGAACTCAAGGAGGTCCACACCATGACACATAATAATTAAAATGTCAAAGGCTAAAGATAAAGAGAATTTTAAAAGCAAGAGAGAAGCAAAAAATTTCCTAGAAAGGAAATAAAGGCCTATAAAGTCCTATGAGACTGTCAGTTGGGGGCGCCTGGGTAGCTCAGTTGGGTAAGCGTCCAACTTCAGCTCAGATCATCGTCTCGTGGTTTGTGGGTTCGAGCCTTGTGTTGGGGTCTGTGCTGACAGCTCAGAGCCTGGAGCCTGCTTCTGATTCTGTGCCTCCCTCTGTCTCTGCCCCTCCCTCACTCATACTCAGTCTCTCTCTCTCTCTCTCTCTCAAAAATAAACACTGAAAAAAATTAAAATACTGTCAGCTGATTTTTTCAGCAGGAACTTTGCAAGCCAGCATGGAGTGCCACGATATAATCAAAGTGCTGAAGGGAAAAAACCTACAGTCGAGAATACTCTACCTGGCAAGGTTATGATTCAAATTTGAAGGAAGGGAAAAGTGTTTCCCAAACAAAAGATAAAGGAGTTTATCACCACTAAACCAGCCATAGAAGAAATGTTAAAGGGACTTCTTTAAGTGGAAAAGAAATGGCCACATGAGCTGTAATAAAATATGAATAAAAAGATACAAAATATAATAGAATACACATAAAACATGGAGAAGGGAGTAAAAAGGGAAGAGAAGGGGGGAAAAGAGTTTTTTTCTTCTTTTAAGAATATGTCTGGGGGCGCCTGGGTGGTGCAGTCGGTTGGGCGTCCGACTTCAGCCAGGTCACGATCTCGCGGTCCGTGAGTTCGAGCCCCGCGTCAGGCTCTGGGCTGATGGCTCGGAGCCTGGAGCCTGTTTCCGATTCTGTGTCTCCCTCTCTCTCTGCCCCTCCCCCGTTCATGCTCTGTCTCTCTCTGTCCCAAAAATAAATAAAACGTTGAAAAAAAAATTTAAAAAGAATATGTCTGAACTTAAATGACCATTAAATTAACACAGACTGCTATTTACTTAGGATATTATATATAAACCTCCTGGTAACCATAAACCCAAAACGTATCATACATACACAAAAAATAAAGAGAGTAGCCAAACATATGACTACAAAAACTCAGCAATCATGAAGAAAGACAGCAAGAGAAGAAAAAGACAACTAGAAAACAATTAACATAGTGGCAATAAATATATACCTATCAATTAAATGAGAATAGCCTAAATGCTCCAATAAAAGCAGAGAGCGGCAGAAAAGATAAAAACAAAACAACAATGAAACACAAGACCATCTAAACACCGCCTACAAGAGACTCACCTCAGACCTAAAGACATACAGCGTGAAAGTGAAGGCGATGGAAAAAAAAAATTTACCGTGCAAATCAAAACAAAACAAAACCCAAACAAAACAGAACAAAGCTGAGACAGCAATGCTTGTATCAAGACAAAACAGACTTTAAGACAAAGACTATAATGAGACAGAGAAGGGCATTACCTAATGATAAAAGGATCATTGCAACAAGACGATAAAACAATTATACATATCTATATAGCCGTCACTGGAGCACCTAAATACATAAAACAAATGTTAAGGAACATAAAGAGAGACTGTGATGGTAATACAATAGTAGGGGACTTTAACACCCCACTCACATCAATGGATAGATATCCAGGCAGAAAATCAATAAAGATGCAGTGTCTTTGACACGTAAGGCCAGATGGACATAACAGATATATACAGAACATCTATCCAAAAACAACAGAATACACATTCTTTTCAAGTGCACCTGCAACATTCTCCAGAATAGATCGCATGAGGTCACAAAGCAAGTCTCAACAAATTTAAGAAGGTCAAAATCATACTATGCATCTTTTCTGACCACAATGGTATGAAACTGGGAATAAATCACAAGGAAAACACTGGAAAAAACAAACACATGGAAATGAAACAACATGATGCTAAACAACCAACGGGTCAGTAAAGCAATCAGGGAAGAAATAAAAATTTACATTGGAGACAAATGAAAATTAAAGCCCAACAGTCCAAAATTTGGGGGATGCAGTGAAAGCAGTTCTAAGAGGGAAACGAATGACACAGGCTGACCTCAAGAAACAAGAAAAAAGCTCAAATAAACAATCTAACCTTACATCTAAGGAAACTGGAAAAGAGAACAAAGCCTAAGGTGAGTAGAGGGAAGGAAATGATAAAAGATCAGGGCGGAAATAAATAACATAGAGACTGACTGAATGAAACCAAGAGTTGTTTGTTTGTTTTTTTTGGAGAAAATAAACAAAATTGATAAGCCTTTAGCCAGACTCATCAAGAAAAAAAGGAGAAGGACCCCAATACATGAAATCAGAGATGAGTGAGAAGACCTGATGCCACAGAAATAAAAAGGCTTATAAGAGAATACTATGAAAGATTACATGCCAACAACTTGGATAACTTCGAAAAAATGGATAATTTCTAGAAACATAATAATCTTTCAAGACTGAATCAGGAAGAAATAGAAAATCTGAACAGACTGATTACTAGTAACAAAATTGAATCAGGCATGAAAAAAACTACCAAAAAATAAAAAATCTAGGAGCAGAAGGATTCACAGATGAATTCCGCCAAACATTTAAATAAGAGTTAATACATATTCTTGTCAAACTATTCCAAAAATAAAAGAGGAAGGAAAGCTTCCAACTATATTCTATGAGGCTAACATTGCCCTGGT